AATCACCTTGTGGTGCTATCTGGGTACTTGTACCCTACTTTGGAGACGATATTGAGGGAAAAGATGGAGCAGAGCCATTGCAGAGTAGGGAGAGCAGTAAAGAGGCTACTGTACTAATCCAGATGAGATATGAAAATACCTTAGACTAAGTGGTGCATAGTTCTCATGTGCACAATGGAAAGACTCCTTATTGGAATGAGAGATCTATATTCACTGCTGGCCTTTAGTATCAATTATTTTCTTAATAAGTGACCCATTCTTATTGTATTATATTAGTAAAACCTATTGGGTTGTTTAGTGGGCTGTTGGACTGAAAAATCTTGAAATAAACTTTCCCCCATGCCTAGCCATTTATTGTAGTCTTCTGGAAAAGGAGTACTATTTAGGAAAACACTGATACTTTCCTCTTCTGCTTGTTGACAAAAGTCAATGGTGGGAAGAGCCTTAAGATATAAAATGAATCTATGTATACATAAATATATTAATACAATATTACTTGGAGCCAATTTCATTCATATTTGTATAACTTTTTTCTCAAATGAATAATTAAAATAAATAAGAATTCACATTTTATCACTCTTTTCTCAAATGAATAATTAAAATAAATAATAATTCACATTTGTGTCACTTTTTCTCAAATGAATAATTAAAAACTTTCCTGCTCCCTATGAATGCCCAGCAAACGGACTACAAATATTTTCACTTTAAAGGGATCATTCTGACAGGTGTGTTTGGAAAGATGGCAGCTGCAAACCCTGGGAAAGAAAAATCAACACTACTCGTATCAGTTTTCTTTAGGAAGAGCTTCATTTTGAAACCAAAATAAATTTTGGTAGGGCAATAATACACTCAACTGAGAAAATTTAAATCCATGAATTGCCTCTGTTTCATTTGGCTTTTTCCAGTCCTATACTTGGATGAGAATTTATTTGGTTTCCAATTCTTTAATCTGGGTTTCCTTTCTTGGAGGAATTCCCACACACTTATCCAGACTGGAAAGAAGGTTAGCAGGGCATAGAAAGAAGTCATTAAGCAAATGATCCTGCAAAGCTCTAAAAACCCTTCTGAGGAGAGGAAAATGACTGCCCTGGGTTTTGTCAAAGAGGACTTGCAATTTGGGGAAGAGAGTGGATCTCTGGCTCTCTTCTCCTCCATCTAGAGGCCATAGCCTGCCAGACAGTGTTTCTGTTTTAGGAGGATCCGGTTTTGGGTAGTAAAGGCGCTTTTGGAAGAACAGCCTGTCTCTCTCCTTCAATGACAAACAGGACATTTTTGTCCTTTTAGGTACTCAAGTTTAATGATTGAGAAGACTTCCCTCTTTGCATTTGCACTTTGTCTGCATTGGTCATAAGAACAATAATTCAGAACAATCTTTTTATAATACCTCTCTGGATTAGATTGATAGAATAGAAGTCTTCTTGGACAGCATTTGAAAGGGTTTCGTTGATTGAAGAGTAATTATCACTCCGTGTTACTTTCAAGTTGGCCTTGTCACAAAGTCAGAATTCAGATTTTTCAGTGAGGTTGTTACAATTCTGTGTGTGAAAATAAACAAAAAATGTAATTAAAAACTGGAATTAGTACTATTTTGTTGTATCATTCATTTAGTCAATCAGTAAATATTTATTGAATAATTTAATAATTACCAAGAACACAAGAGAATGTTATTAGGTACATGAAGACTGTAAAGAAATTTGAAGGCATTTCAACCCTTAGTAAATTGTCTATATGAAAAAGGTTTGGATTTTGAGAAATTCTCTGTAATTTCCAAAGCCCATTCACCTGCTATAAATCTTCATCTGAACTTATGAACAGTAGCA